GGATAAATTAAAAATCCTCTACTTTTTATTGAAATTAAAGACGAATTTGATGATGTAGAACTTTCTAAAGCTTTTAAACAATATTCACATTTTATTTCTCTCTGTAAAGATCGAACAATAGAACCTGCTATGTAAGAAATAATTGTTTCAGCAACCTCTGATACAGTACATGGATGTATTACATGTGAGTGCGTGTCAAAATTCTGAATTAACGTTAATAATCTTTCTGTATCCCTATCAATATTTTTGTCAATTATGCTTCCATCTTCTCTGTTATTTATTTCAGGTAATACATGTTTGATTAATGGCGTGGTCATATTAATTAATGAAACCGGGAGTTCCATTTATAGAAGTGTACCATTTATATAATGTTTTTGGATGAGGTAAAATGCAATCAAATTTGTTTCTTACATAATTATAAGCTTTCGGACTGTAATAATTTAAAGTTAATGCAAATGACCTTAATTCGGGGCTGTATTGTTTATTAACTTTATTGTTATTAGATTTCAAAATTATTCTTTTTAAAAAATCTTTATTAGACTTACCTATTTGCTTTAAAATATCTAAGTGATTCTCATCTAATTTTGATTTTAAAGATACCATAACAGTATCAAAATCTGCTTTAGATTTTTGTTTTATTTTGCGTTTCAAACGTTTAATTATTTGTTGAGATTTTTGTTTATATTCTTCCAAAGAAGCTTTCAAAAATTTGATAGTATCATCTTTGTCATCTTGAAAATGTTCAGGATTAACAGATGTCGAACGATGAACTTTCACTATTGAATTTTCAGATAAATTTATTGGAGAAGTACACCTATCAATAAAAGACTTTTCATCGACTATAACAGTGCAATCTTGAAATTTATCTAAAAATAATATAGAGTATTAATGTTCAAAGAGTTTTAAAGTATATATAATATTTTCTAAATGAAATTAGATAACTATATAAAAATTTTAACTAACCAGTTAACAAAGGTTGTTCTTTTACAGTTAATTCTCCAGTGGATTCATCAAGAAGCATTTCATCAGTCATGGAAATACTTTGTTTTTGAAAATTATTGTTATTTATCTGTATTCCCTGTATTTTATTCCCTGTATTTAATTTTTTTGTACTATGTGTATCAATTGATGAAAATGAGGTTTCTAAATATGAAAGTTGATCTGAATTATAATCAGTAGAAGAAAACGATAAATTTAAATAATTCTGTTGATTTTTAATGTTTTCTTGTTCGTTTCTATTATTGTGTGTGTCATCAACAAAAGCTTCTACCTAAAGAAATAAAAGAAATTATTAATAAAAAAGCGCAATTAATATCAACTAGAATAAAATATTATAATATTTCATACACAAGGCACAGCATTTTCGCGTAAAAAAATTTTATCTAATGTCCTGTTTATATCTTCTTCTTTAAAATGTAAAGAACAAATTGATGCATGTTTTTTCAAGTTAGTGTTTTCACTTAATCCAATATTTTTAAGCCATAATGCTCTTCTATTTGCATCTTTTGGTAACCTGTTGACAATAAGAAATAGTTATATTTATTATAACTTTAATCAAATTTTTTTCTCTTTTGCTTTGAATAAATATAGCATCAACAGACACATCCATCAATAGTATTAACAAAGAAAATATTTTTATATTAATAAAAATAAAATATTACATATTAATAAGAATAATATATTATAATTTTTTACCTGTGGAAACTAATTTTTATATTTTGTTCCAATACTTTTTGAAATTTATTTTTACATTTCTCTGAAGAATTTGTTGTGAAACATCCTGGTACAATGCACTTTACCATTTTTATTTGCAAAGAGTCAATTAACGTTGCTGAATGAGACGAATGCGTTCGAGTATCTAACCTAACTTTGTAGTTGTCACACTAAACAGCGCAAGCAGGATATCACTGACACATATCTATGTGTAAGTTCTTTGAAATCAATATGGCGGAGAAATCAATATGACGGTTCCCCCTTCATGCCTAAGAGAACCCCCTCTTGCCTAAAGTAGGACTTTATGCTCCGTCCCTCTATTCTTTAGTTCGTGCTTCAATCAGAGACTTGCCATAAGGGGGCCATTTTTGATTGGTCCAGAATTTTTGTCAACTCCCGCTCATATTTGAAACGCACAAAGTTTACCTTTAACATTATAATGATAATTTAGCATTAGAAACTAAAAATAAATGTTTCAACGGAACTAAATATTATGTTCTTATTATATACAATATTTAAAAACTGTATATATCGAAAAATTCTTTGTATTACTTGTTATTTCTTTTTTATGGGTTGCATTCCAAAACATCTTTTTCAAGGAAAATTTTACTCTCAAATGTATAGTTCACGTTACATATTTCACGTTACATATTTCACTATAGATGTAACAGTAAAATTTTCCTCGGAAAGGACGTTTTGGAATGCAACCATGAAATATGATAGCTAGAAATACATAGTTTCCTAATATTTTGCATTATTAATCTTTCTTGTTAGCATACTAATTAGGAATTGCAGAGCTTCTACTTAAAAAAAAGCGAATCTTTTGTAAGCAAAATTTAAAAAACGGTCAAATGTAATTATTGAAAGAAAAGCACTTTCAAATTTGCAAAATTTATTTAAAAAAGGTATATACAGCCATAGACTTACTATTGTAACGCTTACAATTATAATTTTTTTTGTTCATAATTCTTAACCTAAATACAACAAATCTGTTAATTATTTTTGAAAATAATTGGTGACAATTCATTATGTGATCTGCGGGAACCAGATTAAATTTCATAATTAAATAACTTTTCCAATCAATATTTTCAGTATTAAAATATTTACAATAATGTCGGAACATCTTTTCTAATAATATAAATAGTTGGAATGTTTTAATGTTTACAAAAAATAACGAATTCATTTTGTAACATTTAAATTGAACAAACTTTGTAAAGAAATAGTGTGGTGGACTGTGTGATTGTACACAATGAATACAGTTCTTACAGGTTTTACATATTTTTATTATCGATCTGATAATATATCCCGCAATGTTATATAATGAATTTAATTCAATCGTTGTTAACTTTAATGTCGAATTACTTTTAAAAGGTGGAATTGTTTCAATATTTGCTTTATTAATATTATTATTGGAATCCGCCACAAAATCATTGTTTTGTTGTTTTCCTGATAAATATTCAATAAATCCTGAAATATATTCTCGATCATCATTCTCATAGTTGCTATTGTTTATATGTTGCATATATATCGCAGTAGAGATTAATTTTAAATCATTCGTAAATTGTAATGCATTTGGTACATTTTTTTGTCGAATTTGTGAAAAGAGGTTCTCTATACAATCTTGAGTAAGTCTAGACGTTAAAACAAATTTAAAATTTTTCTGACTAATAAGATATTGCGTTAAATCTATTATCGATTTAGTAGAAATAATAATACCTCTCTGCACCGGTTTGAAATCTCCTGCAATACCTATTTTTAATTTGTAAAAAATATCAATAATTTCATTTAAAAAATCAATATTTTCGTTATATACGTCTTCATATTTTGTACCAAGAGCTAATGCGCAATATCTAGATGTTACAAGAGAAAACCATTTAGATACAATTTTTACAAACCAAGCGGTAGTCATATACTCTGGTTTATTATTCTCATCTGCTAACAACAGAAAAGAGCTACTAACGTCATTACAAAAAACATGTTTGGCTTTATTGACTTTCATTTTGTTAAAATTATTGCATCTAATATCATCAGCTTGTAATTTAGGTGTTAAAAAAAGCTCAGAATTACTTTGAATATTTATCAGTTCATCAAAATGTTGTAATTCAATTTTATTGGAAGGTAAATTATATTTTATTACAACATCATTAGAAACAATTATCGTTCCATTATTAACTAACGCTTGTTTCAGATTTTTCAAAATATGTGCTGGGTCGCCAATAATATATAACAAACGTTTTCATCAAAGGGATGTATAATACAATTACTTATTGTACTAAACCTTCCTGTACTTATACCTAATAGTTTCCACAGTCCGACATTTCCAGGACCCATGTCTGAGGTGAGAAAGTTAACATGAAAACCCATTTGTTCTGTTTTAGTAATTA